TAAGCTAATGCATATATATTCCAGGTTCTATTTTGGGAAAATACCAAAACCATTATCAACAAGATACAGGTATTTGTAAACAGTTGTCTGCACAAGGTAATCAATGTCTGTTGACCAAACATCATCATCAACAACCTACTGTGGAAGAGAACAAACCATCTTTCACCTAAGGGAGGAACTAGAAGACGCTGAAGGTGGATAGGACACACATTTCGAAAATCATCAAACTGCATTACGAGATAAGCTCCAACTTGGAATCCTGAAGGCGAATGAAAAAGAGGCAGACATCAAAAGAATGAATAGAACCTGGCAATAACTGAAAAGGAGAGTCCAGGAAGGAGTAGGTTGGAGGATCCTGATAGATGAACCATGCTTCGGGAGGAGCAACAGGAGTAAGTAGGTAAGTGGATCTGCTATTTATAACTGACGAATCGAATAACTATTTTATTTCACCCTTACACAATGTTTAATTATTGTAAAAAAACATAATTACCTTACTCCGTTAACATTATGATCCATTGTTGACGTATTAACTTGACAAGGTGTTTTATTCCCATACATGGAATCTTTTATTATCGTTATTTACACTACACAATCTAGGATTGTAACTTTTCTTTTGCATCACCATGTTTCTTCGATGTTCATCTATCATGACTCAGTTAATAATTAGAATTATATATATATATATATATATATATATATATATATATATATATATATATATATATATATATATATATATAGAAGAATCAAATATCTGTGTTTTGTGAGGTCGAATTCTTCACCCAATGACCCGTGAATTATTGAGATTCTCTGACAGCATTTGTGATACAAATATGTGTTAACCTCTACTTTGCTGGGAAATGCATAAATCTTTATAAGCCACCTTACCCATTAAAAAATATCTGAAGAATGATAGGAAAAATGTTTTAATACAACAATTGATTGCCACTTAGTGAACAACTAAAGAGATACAAAAACACCTAGATAATGAGTAGGCATAGAAATCGTAACATCAGATTAATTCTTTCTCAAGTTTTTCGTTTATTCTAGTTGTTAAAATTTGAAAGGACGAATAAACTCTGAACTAGCTAATTAACCACTGTTACTGATGAAAAATAAAGTGAAAGATGAATAGGGATTAATGGTTCTTAAATCTACTATTTTGAACTTTCCTCAGGCAGTTAAAAACACTTTCAAACAACAGTCCGAGTAAAAGTATATTCTGAATGAAACTATGATAATAAACCATTTTCTAGTAATTATTGAAAATGTTTTCCATTGACAATTATGTAGCTCCCATTACCAATAATTCAAGCTCGACCAGTAATCCTAATCAGAAACTTCAAGTCTTATGAAGATAATATTACCTTTAGACTACTTATTTGGCATCTAATAGTCTATATTTCCATCCTTAGTAAATTAGCGATATGGTCCAATTGTCATTCATTGTTTTGTTAACCTAAGTGGTTCTATTTTCTTAATTGCCATTCAGTAGCTGAATGGATAACGCGATGGCGTTTGAAGCGAAAAGTACTGTGTTCGAGTCCTAGAGGGAACATCAACTCTGAGTTACAGGTAAATCTAGCTGACGAGTCCCAAATAGGACGAAACGAGCGTTCTGGTTTCCACTTCTAGCCACTATCCATCTTTGCTTACAATGTTTGTGAAATAAGGCTATATCGAGGCAATACGCACAGTATGCACATATGCTAATTAGAGACCGATCAATCGCAGTCCTAAATATCAATGGGAAGATTCAAACAAACAATACCAACTGAATGTGATTGTACAGTTTGTAATAAAAACATAGAAGAGATAGAATAGCCAAATAAAGTTCTTTGTTCTAAGTTTATAAAAAAATCCAAGAACTTATTGAATAAACAAAATAAAATTTTGTTTATCCAATGAATTTATTGATTGGCAATAAAAATTATTTATTAAACATTTGCAATTACATGCAATGAGAATCATACAAGTTAATGTAGTAAACTACAATTTACAGCCAACTACAATTACTCAGATAACTGACATGTTTTAGATAGGAACTTCGAATAACATTTATACATTAATGATAACAACTTAATCATTGGTCAATATTTGCTCTCTTTTTTCTCCTAATTGATATATGGATTTGCAAAATTAAAGGATTATTAATGGTTATTTTGTATTTTTCATCAGATAAATAGTTTAATTGTTCTACATTGATTGAATATATTTGTATACAACTTTATTTGAATACAATATTTTTATATAGTTAGTCAATTGAAGCTAAACCATCATGGAAAACCTGGAAGTACTGGACGGCCGTTTCGTCCTGTTATGGGACTTCTCAGAAGTGAGCATCCACGATCCCGACTCGTGAGATTCGAACCCAGGACCTATCAGTCTCGAGCCAGAGCACTTAACCTCTAGACCACTGAGCCTGCACTCAGCGGTGTTAATGTCTAACCTCAACGCCCTTGGGACAATATTTTTGGTCGAATGACAATGTCTATCCTCTAAAAGCTGTTCAATGGATAGCTAAGAGGAGGGGATAGGCTGAGGTGTTTGTTTTCTGAGCGATTTTGAAAAGTTACACAACTATAGTCATTTCATTAGTCTGATTTAATTAATTATTCTATCAGAATAATAATAATAATAAAATAATTGGAAATTACTTAAGGCTGGAAGTGATAAAAGTAATATAAACCGAATAGAAAGTCAAGATTCTAACCGTTCAGTGTGTCAAATTTAATAACAGTTGTTACTAGAATAATTCTTTTCTCCAGTGTTAAATTAATTGTTCTTTATGTTACTCATGATAGACGTTGTGAATGTCGACTTAAAGTGTTAAATACTCTCAGTAATAACATGAGTTCATGCGAAATGACAAAAATAAAAGTAAAACATAGTATCAGAATAAAATATCACATCTCATTATGTGTTACCGACATTTATGATGTAACAGATAAAGAGACTAGTTGACTCACTTAATCGTTAGTAAGAGAAAAGTGTTTAGGAATTCGGGGATAAAATGTAAATTACAACTATCCTACTTCATATAAAGTACAACTCAAAATAGATATGTCGAGCTATTTTAAAATTGACAATTGAACTTTTTGAGGCAAAACATTAATAGTTTATCATGCTTTCACCTATATGCAAATGGATATGATGAGCACCTTAAATTTCTAAGTAATCTCACTTTCAATCACCAGTTTTCTTCACCATTAAATATCTTAAATTAATTGGTATATTCCTACTGCATCTCGAACCCATCAGCGATTTCCACTCTTACAAATGGTAATAAACTCAGGACCTGCATGTTTCATGACGAGCATGAAATTGTAGGTAGATAGGGAGTTAACAAATGTAGGAAAAAGTTGGGTACAAGAAATATAGAATACTTAGCTAATACTTATAACACTTTTTAATCATCTGAGTTGGTTTATGGGTACCACTAATAAGTTCTTTACTAAATTTCAACTTAGTGCAACTAAGTACATGTTTGTTAAACCGTGAATACTATTCCATTTACCTTGATTCACATTGAAAGTGACTCTGATATTATCAGCCAATAAGTTTACAGACCGTCAAAATAAGGACTATAGATAAAAAATAAAGTAATGAAAATAACATACAAGTAGTGGTTTTACTTAGCTATTGAGTTTTTCAATGTCCATAAATAAATATTAAAGAAAATCAGTGTATATTTAGGTTATTTATCACACAACAAATAATTTTACGAACAGATCCACATAGTTTTAACAATATTTGTGCACAATTGCTGAATTGTTGAAAAAATGATATTCAATCAGTGGTCTAAGAACCACCTAAATGAAATTCGTAACTTGTGCAAGTAATCTGTATGACCCAATCGAACTAGTAATAAAGCGATTTATTTGAGGATTTGATTCATACAAAAATAAAGCAAAAAACTATAACATTTTGTCATTTAGTGTTAAGGTTAGGGGCATTGAGTTAGTACTAAGATTTGAGGTTATGAGTAATGATTAAGAATAAAGTGACAACATACTTCTAGGTATATCAATGACTAGAAATATCAAGAACCTTAGTTATCCTCAAAACTTCATAAACTATGGTCTATATTGCATTAATTCCCCGATTTTTATCAATTTTACGAGTCTTATTAACCGAATATTAGTAGGTATTACTTAGCTATAAATAAGCTGTAATTTTATCCATCCGCTTTCTAACATTCAATAAGTATGCAGTCTGTGTTTTCGAGCACTTTTCGAGCATGTGATGCCTATAAATATGTAACGTGCATTGAAGATTTCATTTAATGCCCTAGCTTTCACAATATTTGTGTTTTTTGTCCACTGTGTTGAGATGCGCTACACAGTCGCGTTCATAGAAGATAGATATGAATACTTACAGGTGCTTGTAATATAATCTCCAGTGACGATTGTGCTCTTAAATACAGCACTCATCCACTGAATGAACGAAAATATCGCACAATGCACGATCGTTGGACAGCGAGGAGTGGAAAGATAAAATCTACGATTTGAATTTCGCCCAGAAATTTAAAAGCCACTTTTGATAAATCTGACTAATTTATCAACAAAGTATACTTTTACCGAGGTTGAGTCATAAGGAGTATGTGTTTTGTTTAATTTTGCTGTCACATCATATTATTTTCTTTTTAGTATGATACACTTGGTTATATTACTCCTAAGCTATCATGCGTTAAATGCTTTAATTTCCACCAAAGACTTGAAATCCCCAACATTGATTATAATTCACTTGGCAGCATAGCAGTTTTTCCTTGTATACTCAGGTTTAAAAAAACTTCGTAAACAAATTCTGATGACAGTAATCTGGTGGCTAAACTGACGTAAACAAGAGTTGGAGTGGTCAGTGTGCTAAAAACCTTCATTTCACTGGTGATAAAACAAGTCCATTTAACCAATAAACCACAGATTCTTATTACTATATCAAGAACAATGATGAATAATAGTGATAACAATATTTACGAATCAAATGAAATATCTTGCCTGTTTAATGATAGATTCTGTTTACCAACCAATTTTTCTACATTAACATTTTGGTATTGATTAACTGAATATTTATCTTTTTGTAATTCATAATCATGTTGAAATAATATATTATTATTTATTCCATCCATTGCATCAGTGTCATTTGTATTCATTAAACGTTGGAATACTTCCTGAGCATCTATTGGTATGTTGATGCTTTGATTTGGTCTAATAGTTATCGAAGTTGTCGTTGTTGTCGGTGTTGTTGACTGGTGACTTTGATTGCAAGGTACCGACAATAACGACGAAGTAGATCGACATAATGGTTTAATATCTAATATGGTCTTATAACTGACAGTTGGTTGGTTTTGATGTTGTCGTTGTTGTTGTTGTACATAACTCTTTTCATTTTCAACATTATATATCATCGTCTCATTACCATGGGACAATAATCCTGAAGAACTGGAATTCAGTAAATGACTTATGTCAGGAGTAAGTGGGGTAGTAGTTGTCACTTCATTCGTTACATTTAATTGTGTTCTAATATGTTGAAGTGCTTTTTTGATTTGATCCTTTACAATATAATGATTATACATAAAAGATATAAGAACAAATAATTTTTATAGAAAAATAAAAGATATTCAAATTAGAATATAGGTTCACTATTTAATGAGATGGGTTCTATTCATACTACTTTCAGTAGTATTCTTCATAATATTTTGCGAAAATAGATTTCGAAATAAACTATTATTTTAAACGGCCAATAGAATATATAAAATTAAAGTATAAAGATATTCATTTCCTTTCACAACAGAAAATAAATTTAGGTGACCAATTAAACTAAGAAATATATAAATAATTCACCATACAAACACGACATTAACAATAGGTAATCAATCCACGACTGGTTGAAGTCAGACCTTAACACCATTGTATGCCAGCTCAGTGGTCTAGAGGTCACGCGTTTGTGCGCTGGACTGCAAGTCCTGAGATCGAATCCTGTGTACGAAATCGTGGGTGCGCAATGCTGAGGAGTTCCACACTGGAACGAAACTGCAGTCTAGTGCTTCCAGGTTTTCAATGGTGACCTAACATTGATTGATTCAAGATCCCAATCAAAAACTCAACTATCTTTACAATGCCATACAGATACAAGTAATCAGTTTAATAGTGGGAAGTATGCAGTTGCCAGTTATAGCTCATTTCATAGAATTATTGGTTACAGATCCTTGAGATTATACTAAAACAAACGCTTATCATATTCAACAAATAATGTTGAATCAGATATATTCAATGTCTGGTATTTAGTATTTTCTTATATTTTCATTCGAACTAATTACTAAAACTTACACAAATTAAATAGTCAGATTAATGTTCTATATTTCACAAGACTCAATCTATGTTTCACTATGATGTTGAAAATACTAATGAGTTTCAACTATGAAAATACTAAATCTCCACAAAACCCATTCTGATAGTTTCATTTAGCTTTCAAAATAATGAAACGGAACTTTGAACTTTCAGTACAACAAAATCAGACTATTTTACCTTAAAGTAAACAACCGTTCTCTGTTACCATCTTCAGTACATCATAAAAACTAGTTACAAATAAATTGATTAACTTATACACACAAATGAGGTTTAAAAACCATACTGAAAACACAAGCAATAATGTGTTGATTTGATTAAAAATTATTGTTTAGGATTATAATATCACTGAGTAACTGGGGGGGAATAAGTTTTGGTTTTATAAGTTTGTGAACTATAAAGTTTCCATGTTTTTATGTAATCAAGCTTCGTCATTCCAGCTGTCTTGATCGATTACACGATTTGAACGACAGATATCAAAAATCTCGACAGAGTCTGATAAATGGAATGAAGGTGAAGCAAGATTTAGTTGATCAAATGATAAAATCCCTAAAGAAAATAGCTAAAAAATAATGAGTTATCGTCTGATATTAGCAGTCTACAACGAAATTAATCTCATAAGCGAGTTTATTTCATTAGTGTTTGAAAATAATCAGCAAGATAATTAATTATGTGCTGCTCTACTCAGAACCCATTATTTGAGGAAATGAATATTATCCAGCTCTAGTCAGTCAGTTATCAGTCATAATTAACACAGAGCACACATATGTCTGTCTTAACTCAAATTCCCACAACAGATCAGCAGAGTGGGGTGAAATTATCAAAATGAATACTATAATACCAGAAGTAGTAAAAGCATCAAGGATAGTGAAAGAGATTAGGCATAAAGGCTAAGATCCAATAATGAAGAATGAATTCGCGGAATAAAATCTATAAAACAATCTTGAAACTGAGGATCCAAGGGAAGATCGCAAATGAATTAATCTGAACATTTTTTATCCAGTCAAACACCATGTCTTCCAAATCTACTATTTACGTCTGTTATCCCCCGTGGAGGAGCATAGGTCTCATATCAGTATTCTACATCCAACTCTGTCTTGAGTAATCCTTCCCAGGTGCTACTCATCCTTTTGATATCTGTTTCCCATTGCCGGCTCAGTGTGATCCTTGATCTCCTACTATTCTTTTTCCAAGTTAATGCGTCCCTCGCGATGCAGTTTGGTGATTCCATTAATGTGTGTCCTAACAAATTCCAGCATCTTTTCCTGATTTCTTCTTCAACTGGAAGCTGGTTTGTTTTCTACCACAGTAGGTTGTTGATGATGATATCCGGCCAACGGACATTCAGTATCCTGCATAGAAAATTTTTTATAAATACTTGTACTTTGCTCATGATGATGGTTGTAGTTTTTCTTGAAGTTTCAGCTGCGTACAATGTAACTTTATCAATATTTGTATTGGAGACTCTAACTTGGATGTTTGATTGACGGTTGTTTTGGGTTCTATATGTTCTCAAATTATAGGGATGCTGCCCCTTCATTGTCAATCATTGCCTTTACATGTGCATTAGATCCTCTTTGTTTATAGAAGATGCTACCCAGGTAGGTGAAGGTTTCCACATCTTCCAGAGTTTCTACATCAAGTGTAATTGTGATGGTGTTTTTCGTGTTTTATTTAAGGTTCTTGCATTTTCCCTTGTGTATGTTAGGGCCTACTGCTTCAGAAGCTGGTGCTACACTGGCTGTCTTAATCTGAATTTATTGGTGGTTTTCTGTAGTGTGATCCGGTGAAATCAATGTACCCACGTGTGCGTATTTGTAGGAGAATCTAAGGCCACCTATAACCATTTTGTTGAACGCACATAACTTTACAAATCTCTTGTCATTCTCGTCCCTTTCTTCAATTCTATTTCATCCCATGATATATTCATACTGAGTGTTTTTTATTCCGACCTTGGCGTTTAGTTCCCCTTCCAGAACGATCATGTCCTTTCCTGGGTACTTCGCCACGATCGACTGCATCCCCCATAAAACTGATCTTTATCATCGTCATTGCTACCATTGGTGGGTGCATAGCATTGGATAAAATTCATTTTGATCTCCTCCTTCTTTGTTTTGAACGATGATTTGACGATTCTGGATCCATGAGATTCCCATCCTACAAGTGCTTTAAGTACTTCTTTGGACAGCATCAGTTCAAATTCCTGCTCGTGCGGGGCATTTTCTTCTTCGTGACCAGATTACAGCAGCATCTCTCTCGAATCTAAATCCTTCTTGGACTGAGCTATTTACGTACATGCAAATAAAATGTTGCGTTCTACACGATTATATTAACCAATGGCTAAAGACTTTAGGTGATGGATGAAAATCTATTGCCATGGCTCTTTAGATTCTAAGTTTCTTAATAATATTTGCACTAAAAGCGAATTTTATTAATCCATCTTTTTCTCTCTAGCCATATTTCCGATGTCTAATTTTTTCTACTGCTACTCATGCTGTTCTGACATATATTTATGCTAATAAGGTGTGGCAACTTGAACCAATGCACATTGTATCTACTTTGCATATAACTGACTAAATAACTAACCACCTGCATATTCCGTGAATACTCATATGACAGTAAATTACAAATAAACAGTTAATCATTTGCAAAATAACTTTAACTTACTTTTGACAGTCCATATTCATTTTTAGTTTCATGTTCATGTAGAATAGTATTGACATTTCTAAATACAGAAACCATTTGTCATTTTTACAACTAACTTACTTATCAGTAAGAACGCCACGTGTTAATACATCGTCCGTAACAGAAGATATAAACTTCAAATAGTTGACTTCATTCTTTCTGTTTGTGTTATTTTTTTTTAAAGAAAGAATCAAAGACAAAAATAATAATGTCTTAATGTTAATTAAACTTGGGAACTGATTATCATATAACTCAAACATTAAGTGAAATAATCAATGGCGGACTTCTAGAATATCTGGGCTACTTGTTCCTATCATCTAGATATTTTAACAAGTTATCTAATTTGGTGCATCTATGAAAACTGTACAAATTTTCGTTGTACAAGACACAAAAGGCCCAATCAGAGATATCGTAGTTGCTGGCAATATGCAGTGAAAAGGATGTCAACTGACTGAACTGCCAACTTCGAACTGGTGGTCACTCAATATTTATCATCAGGATAGATCAAGAAATAAGAAACGGTAACGTTTTGAAATACTTTGTGCTGAGAATTCTATATTGTAGCAAAGATATAATATTGAATAAAGCTAATAATAATAAGTTATACTGAAGTTTATTTCTTATTAACCTGCAATGTTGTCCATTATGAAAATGAATATTAATTTTAAAGAAAGATTTTGTTCTTACAACAAATTCAAAATGAGAATCCACTTAATTATACGAAAGAAATTTGTCAAAGTTCATGCCAAAACTTACTAACTAGATAAAACCTTTATTTTTCAAAGAAAAACGATATTAAGTCGAATATGGAGCAATGAACAACTGCTTTGTTCTAGTTTAGAACTCATCAACAGTATCTATCCGTGACCCACTCCCTGAGTCTAGTAATAAAGGATGATACAACAGATCTACTGGTTTATATTTCAAACTTTACCGAATTCCCTATTTTATTTGGTTGTTATTTGAGATCTGTGAATTACTGTCTTACTTCCGACAGTGTTTAACTCTTCAGGTAATTGCTGTTAATGTTAATCAGTGTTAATGGACCTTTAATAATTGGACAATCCCCATGAATCTATTTTTTGTAGAAATGTTGTGAGAATAATGTTGATAAGTATGATTATTTTATTCGTATCAGTTTAATACCAAAGATTTTTTCCGAATATAACACATATTAGTAAAGTGAAAAACTGAACAATAGGTTAGCAAATTGCCTGATGAGTTCTTGACTCAAAATGTTCAATTCGCAAGACATTCAATCTATACATTTTTTTGTAATAGAGTTTGAACTAATTTATGCTAGGGGAGAGACTATGAACTTATTTATCCGTCAGATATTACATTTTAAACTGTAAATCATCCAAGTTTTTATCTCTGAGACTTCTGATTAAAGTAGTTGTGATGAAGAAATTTCTAATCTTCGTGGATTACTGACTGTCATAATAAAGTCAGAAAATAAAGAGCTACTTTCCTGGTATCACGTTGGATATTTCCATTTAACTTATGAGAATTCACGATTTTGGTCCCAAGTAAATTTGAATAAAAGTATGGATCGAATAACCAATTCATTCATTTATTTGATATCATTAATTATCATTTACATTTCAGAATTGACTCTATCATTTGTAACTCAAAATAACTGGGCATGCAATAAATGAGAAACTGTAGTAAAAAGATTGAAATTAAGACCCTAGTTTAATGAAACATTTGTGATTATGAGATAACACGGAAAACCAATGTCTTTTGACTATTCATGATGACGAATTTTGTTTAAATTCTTTAAGTTGTAAAAACAACGACCTAACGTGAGTATATTAATGTCAATTTTAACGTTGAATCTATGTAAGCAAAGATGGATAGCGGCTAGCAGTGGGATCCAGGGCACGTGTTTCGCCCTATTTGGGACAAACAATACTAAGTGAATTTAAACTTCACCTCATCGCACAAGCAAGTGGCTATCACGACTCAGTAGCTGAGTTGATAGCGCGATGGCGTTTGAAGCGAAAGGTACTGGCCTCGAGTCCCAGAGTGAACATCAACTCTGAGTTACAGGTAAATCTAGCTGACGAGTCCCAAATAGGACGAAATGAGCGTCCTGGATTCCACTACTAGCCACTATCCATCTTTGCTTACAATGTTTGTGAAATAAGGTTATATCAAAGCAATACACACAGTATGCACATATGCCAATTAGAGACTGACCAGTTGCAGTCCTAAATATCAATGGGAAGATTCAAACAAACAATACTAAGTGAAGTTGAATGTATGTGTTTATTTGTATTTAGCGATGAGGAATGAAGTACTTTACCAACAGAATCCTTTAGAAATAATGAAAACGTTTTTTTATTTTTTTCTCTCTCATGACCAAAGATTTATTTCGTTTCATTTTGAATAAACTGTAAATGATAACTATTTCTTCCACTAATAAAGTGTTCACATCTCTAAGCTCATTATTTAAAAACTGAGACTGAAGTAGACATCCCTTCAATAGTTCTATCACCTGTCATCTATTTGACAGTGGATATGACGTTGAGATTTCAAAATCACTTAAAATTATTAGTGAACAAATTATTTCAAACTTATTACCTTTAGCCGAAGCTATCGTAATCGAAAGTCTTAAAATGGATTTATGCATTTTAACGGTTAATTATTGTCACTCTTGAATTACCCTGGTGATCTCAGTCTTCAACGTATAATAACATAAACTTCTATGTTTACAATGGTGAAGTCGTTTCCTTCATAGATTCTTGCATCCTGTTTGAACTTCACTTATTTAAATCTTTTAATCAATACTTTATTATTATTAGGTATTTTTCAATATTTTTTTAAATAATCTGTCCCATACAGTTTAAGATTTTATTTAGAATTTTCAGACATAAAAATATTCAACTACTCAAACGTCTACCTTTTCCATATTTATTATTTTTTTACAAGGTGGTGGTTGGAGGTGTTCGACAGGAAACCTTAATTGACTTAGGTTTCATAGTGTTTGGCACTCGTCAGAAGAGTGTTCCTATAACCCTGAGGAAACCAATTGTTCCCGACGGGTTTGGTCCCGTATCACCTAGCTTCATAGCCAGAGAAATTTCAATTAAGCATCCAGTCCCTAGCTGACCATCTGTAGAACTGAGATGTATTCGCAACCGATTGATCATTGAGTAGTGACTAATGTCATGTATGTGTAGTCCTTCTTAGTGCTAACCAAAGTCCATCGGTTAGGTTTCCACTGATCTAGGCGACTAGCCTAAGCAGCCTGAATACCTCAGCAGTCACATCACTGACTGTGAAGCTGGGCAACAAAAGATCGAATCCTTCAGGAAGCAATAGTATCGTCAAGATTACAGGCACACTTTGCGGAGGAATATGAAATTGCATGAAACCTAAGTTAGACAAGGTTTCCTGTCGACTACCTTCCACCCGTACATTACATTTCAACACAGTGCGCCCGAAGTTAAGTCGTTTAAAATGATGGCGACATTGGGACTTGATCGGTGGAGTTAGGCTAGCATTTAGAAGGACTAAACATACATGACGTTAGTCACTAATCAGTAATCAATCAACTGTGAATATTGATTTTTTGTTAATCTTAATAGATGAGAACATTTCTGATATCATGATATCAAGTATGTAAACTGTCTTGTTTGTAAGTTTGTAAGGTTGTAGACAACTAAAGAGAAAATACAAAATAAAATGAATCCAGTTACGTCCATTTTCCATGTTCAATTGAACAATATACTACTAGAAACTAATCAGGTTTTTTGAACTACGGTATCTCTATCTTGACATAAATTATCATTCGTAAATTAACATACTAAAATTTCTTTTCTACATTTCTTCAAAATTTACATTAAAATGGAGACAAATTTTATGATTTATGAAGCTAAAGAAACTAGTTTAATTATATGTAGGTTGGTTCAGGACAAATGAACAAGCAAAGTATGTATCTCTTTTGGGTGCACAGGTCTGAATTCAGTTACACGATGCTAATTACTTTCACCAGATAAATGACATGTAATATTGCACCATTTGGTAAATTAGTTCGGTTCACTGTCTATCAACTAACAAAGAACGATGCAATTCATATACTTGAAGACTCGTGTTCCTGGCCAAGGTAGTACGTACTCTCAAGCACTCAATGATAAAGGCTTCTGAGTGACTAACTTCAGGGGGAGTAGTTAAATAGTTAAGCATACATTTAAGAGAGACTTTCGCTAGTACATTTTCCAGAACTAATTGTGTCAATATATTCTTTTGTTAAAGAGACGTGAAAATTAATGTCTCTTCAACAAATCTATTTAGTCCAGTTAAACTATAATAAAAGTAGTATCAAGTTGAACTCTAGCAAAATACTCATATTTTGTAAAAAAAAATAACTCGGAAGTTTGTTATACAATGTGACATTTTTTAACTAAGACAAGCGAGAATTTATAAAGTTCAATCCAGGATTATACAAAGTAAACTAATATTTAACAGACCGAAACGGTACTATTTCAAACAAACTGAGCATATGTGTGATCAGACTATTCTAAATGTATTAGTCAAATATATCACATAATCTTGATAAACTTTGTTTTCTCATTTCATTATCAAAATTGAGCATAGGCAATATTCTTTGCCATTCAATGGCAACAATATACCACATTGTCTTTCTGAAGATTGAATATTTACAAAAATGGAAATTGATTCTATTCAAAGAATCTAAAGATGTTAAGTTGGGAAAATTATATGAATGTCACAGAATCGTTAAAACATTTAATCATTAGAAGCGGTAGTATACATTAGAAATTTTATCGACAAAAAACAAAATCAGATCGTTAGTTCCAAGTCAAATGAATGCTTATTTAATAATTATGGCTCTGTTGATTAACAAACGATCATGACAAGATAATCTGAGTGGAAAGATAACTAATTAACGTATGCATCCTGAAATATGTACCTTTCCAACTTTCTTTATGAGAAAGTTGTAATATTATTTTAATCGACCGAGACTATATCCAGTACCATCAGAATAGCCTATTTTAGCAGCATATAAATATTCTGATTATTGAATAAAATATAATGATGATTCACCGACATTCATTTTCTAATTCATGTTTAATATAGCGCATCTTTCTATAAAAACTTATTCTTAATTATTCATAGTTTGATACAATTAAATTACGGACACATACTGCTATTAAACTTTTGTCCGTGGGGGTAGTAGAAATCGACACAATTGTCTGATATTTATCCCTAACTATACACATAAGCATCATCTCGAAAATATAAAAAGCTTTACAAGCAAAGATGGATGGTGGCTAGCAGTGGAATCCAGGATGCGCGTCAGCTCGATGTACATGCATCCCGGAGTTGATGCCCGTTCCGGGACTCGAATCTACAGCCACCCGCTTCAAAGTCATGTCATCCACTTAGTTACTGAGTTCTGATATCAAGTTTGTTTATAATGCTTGTGATTTAAGGCAATATCGAGGCAATCCACAGAGGTTGCACAAATGCTAATAAGTGACTAATTAACTGCATTCGTAAACATCAATGGGAAAATTCAAGCAAACAATACCCAATAAATTTAATAGAAAAAGCTATTTAAAATTTATTTCTTATGCTATTGAGTAACAAATTAAACAGTTTATTAATTCCATTTGTATGATATTGAGTGACTTTCCCTTTTGTATATAATATTTTCACATATGTTGATAAAGTTACATCTAGTTTTATGACATTATTTAACACAACGCCATTCTTAGTATGTTTATTGTATTTATTGACATGATCTCAACTATATAAAATTACTAAAATCTCCACAAAATCCCTTTCTGATAATGATCACCTGCTCACTGGTGACCGGCTCCATAAGGTATTTCCTGGAGTTCTAGTGAGAAGCAGTAATCAGTGGAGTTCAACCACGTCTCTTGTGAGATAGGAACTCACTGAAGACATTGGTGAATGGTTGCTCAACTTCGCGGATTGGTTGAAGTTAGACATTAACACCATTGGATACCGACTCAGCGGTCTATCGGATAAGTGCTCGCGCGCGAGACTGATAGGTCCTGGGTTCGAATCTCGCAAGACGGGATCGTGGATGCGCACTGCTGAGGAGTCCCAAAATAGAACGAAACGGCTGACCAGTGCTTCCAGGATTTCCATATTGGCTTAGCTTCAATTGACTGATGATCTCAACTATATAAAATTACTAAAATCTCCACAAAACCCCCTACTTATTGACATTTGTCAATAATAAATAAAGTCAATAAAATTACAGACATAATAATTTTTGGTAGATCATTTTATACTACTGCAAGTAGGCAAAGTATGGATTCTAAATTTTGTTTTAAAAATATTGGATACAGAATATTGTAAAACAACGGAATGATGCTTAATTTCTTACTTTATATAACCCCTTATATGTAAATTTTAAACAGTTTTATCTATCAAATTAAAGTTCACAGAAACATTGAAAGAAGAAAAAATCGTTTTAAAAGCTTTTCGGGAATTAAGTTCATTTAAATTCGCCTTATTATTTCTAACAATAAATAAATAATCACATTTTTGTGAATATTCACAGTTAATAATCAAAGTGCACCAAAGTTCTGTACTGTTGACAAACTAGAGGAAAAATTCCTCAGATTTGAAGATTCCTGAAGGTATCGCACGTTTTGATGATAATCAGAAAACAAGAAGTTAATACAACTACCTATGATTTTAAGGGGCAGAACGCACAAACCACTTACAAATTTTCAATCGATGCTTCATTCTCAATCGGTTTACTCAACATTTGTTTATCTGTATTATCTATATAAACTTTTTTCTCAGCAACCGACTTCTCCACTTTCTCTTCATCACATTGCGTAGATGTAACAATCTAAGAAAGAAGTGACCAGAGAAATAAAATGAAGGCGAGTTGAAACATTTAACCAAGTATGATTTCACTTGACTAACCATACTGACCATCATTCCAAAAAGATAAACAACTTACTTACTTACTTACTTACGCCTGTTACTCCCAATGGAGCATAGGCCGCCGACCAGCATTCTCCAACCCACTCTGTCCTGGGCTTCCTTTTCTAGTTCTATCCAGTTATTGTTCATTCTTCTCATGTCTGTCTCTATTTCTCGGCGTAATGTGTTCTTTGGTCTTCCTCTTTTCCGTTGACCTTCAGGATTCCATGTGAGGGCTTGTCTTGTGACGCAATTAGCTGATTTCCTCAAGGTGTGCTCAATCCACTTCCAGCGCTTCTTCCTGATTTCTTCCTCTGCTGGAATCTGGTTTGTTCTCTCCCACAGTAACTTGTTGCTGATAGTGTCTGGCCATCGGATCCGAAGTATTTTGCGTAGACAGCTGTTGATGAACACTTGTATCTTCTGGATAATGGCTTTCGTATTTCTCCACGTCTCTGCCCCATACAGTAGAACTGTCTTGACATTTGTATTGAAAATTCTAACCTTGGTGTTGGTTGACAACTGTTTTGAGCTCCAGATGTTTTTCAGTTGTAGGTATGCTGCTCTTGCTTAGCCGATCCGCGCCCTCACATCTGCATCTGATCCACAGTGTTCATCAATGATGCTGCCCAGATATGTAAAGGTTTCCACATCCTCCAAAGCTTCTCCGTCAAGTGTAATTTGATTGGTGCATATTGTATTGTATCGGAGAGTCTTGCTTTTCCCTTTGTTTATATTGAGACCTACTGCTGCTGAGGCTGCTGCTACACTGGTCGTTTTCTCCTGCATTTGTTGTTGCGTTTGTGATAGAAGAGCCAGATCATCCGCGAAGTCTAGATCGTCAAGTTGCATCCTGCCTGTCCACTGTATCCCGTGATTTCCTCCAGATGTTGACGTCTTCATGATCCAGTCGATTACCAGGAGAAAGAGAAAGGGTGAGAGTAAGCAACCTTGCCTTTCACCAGTCTTTACTTCAAACGAGTCGGTGAGTTGTCCTCCGTGGATGATTTGGCAGTTTAGTCCATCATAGGAGTTCCGTATGATATTGACTATCTTCTCAGGCCCGCCGTAGTGTCGAAGAAGCCTCCATAGTGTCGTCCTGTCTACGCTATCAAATGCCTTCTCGTAGTCGATGAAGTTGATGTAGAGTGATGAATTCCATTCGATTGATTGTTCCACAATGATACGTAGAGTTGCGATTTGATCTGTGCACGATCTATCCTTACGAAATCCAGCTTGTTGATCTTGAAGTTGGGCGTCCACGGAATCCTTCATCCTGTTTAACAATACTCGGTTGAAGACTTTTCCTGGTATTGAGAGAAGAGTGATGCCCCTGTAGTTGTCGCACTTGCTCAGATCGCCTTTCTTTGGTATCTTGATCAGAAGTCCTTTTTTCCAGTCTGTTGGTACTTGTTCTTCGTCCCAAATCTTACTGAAGAGGATGTGGAGTATCTTGGCAGTTGCTGTTACATTTGCTTTCAGTGCCTCTGCCGGGATGTTGTCTGGTCCCGCTGCTTTGCCACTCTCGACTTGTCTAATGGCCATGCTGATCTCTTCAATTGTTGGTGGGCCAATATCGATTGGGAGGTCCGTGGGTGCTGCTTCGATGTTGGGTGGGTTCAGTGGGGCTGGTCGATTCAAGAGTTCTTTGAAGTGTTCTACCCACCTGTTTCGTTGTTCTTCAATGTCGGTGATTACTTTGCCTTCCTTGCTTTTCACTGGTCTTTCTGGCTTACGGTAATTTCCAGCAAGTTTCTTTGTTGTATCATACAATTGTCTCATGTTTCCTTCTCTTGCAGCCTTTTCCGCCGTCGTTGCTAAATCTTCAACATATTTACGTTTGTCGGTTCTGATGCTCCTCTTCACTTGCTTGTTCGCCTCTGCGTATTCGGCTTGTGCCTTGGCTTTTTCCGCTCTGGTTCGGCTGATATTGATTGCTGCCTTCTAGTTCCTCCTTGCTTCAATCTTATCCAGTGTACCAACAGTGATCCATTCCTTGTGATGGTGCTTCTTTTGGCCCAGAACCTCTTGACACGTTGAAATGATTGCCTCCTTGATACCTTTCCAGTTGCTCTCCATGGTAGTCCCCTCTCCATTGAGTAGATCATAAAAGGCCTGGAACCTGTTGCTGAGGGCTATGTTGAATTTGTTGAGTTTGTCAGCATCTCGAAGAAAGGCCGTATTAAACTTTTGTGATGTTGTCCGCGCCGTTGTCCCGTAGAAAATCAACTCGCTAAAAAACGCTAACCAGAAAAAAAAGACAAACAAGCCAACAATCAATTCACAACAGCATATATAAGCGAACAATATTGTTTCTGATTAGATCCTTATCAGGCTTTACTCGAATATACAATAATATTTATATGCATATACGAAATCATTAAACCAATCAAGGCAGTTTAGGAGTAAGTGATAACAGTGGAATAGAATACACAAGTAAACATAATAAGTGAAAAGTCCAAATTGGTAGTGTGATAACAAATGTACTAGTTATGATAAGTATGATAAAGGCTTGAATCAATGTTACATAATGGAAAATAGGTTAATAATTTAAAAAATATAGACACTGAAATAAGATTACGCAATAAGAAGTGTTCAGATCATTGGACAGTGAGCCGTATATTTTAGAAAAAAAATGGTAGGAGGGAGTGAAGAAAAATAAACGAAGAAAGGGTAAGGAAAACGCTAATAAATAAAATCATTTATTAAGGCCAAGGGAGAGATAAGGGTGTTACAAATTTCTTATGAACACAAAGACTTGGATTGTTGACTCGAATTCCTATAGCTTCCGATATGTGTATGAAACGAGATCGAACCCATAAGTAAAACTAGTAAGAATACTATAAATAACTAAGTAACTTATTTCTTTCTACTACATGATCGCTATCGATCAAGTGTGATAGAACGGAGCTGCGTATTGTCTTGACGGTACCTTTTCCTAACCACGAAGGGAGGTGTTCACTAACTCTCTGGTTCAGTTGTCTGGTAGTGTGCACATTATAGCTTTCTCCACAGGAGCAGCTGAATTCGTAGATACACATGGAAGTGGCATAACCAGGTAACTTATCCTTTAGTTGAGGAATCACCATAGATCGGGTCGAGTACGATAGACAGAGGTTAACTGCATTAAATGTTCTCTTCACCACTCTAGTTAGTCTATAATGTAGTACCTCGCCAGATACATCTCCATTAAATTGCAGCTTCGGGAAGGGAGGTTTCTTACTAGCTATTGATGTCACTACTGTATATTAGAGTAAAGCCTAATGAGGATCTAGTCGAAAACAATATTGTTCACTTACATATATAGTTCTAAATCACAATATGGGAATTTTTCAAACAATCAATTCGCCAAAATTAATATATACTAATCTATTTTGGATTTGTTTAGAATACAGATTAATTTTGTTGAAAGACAGGGAACTTTGACTATGTAGCTTCTTTGATATCCATAAAATGCATTCGACTTTCGTTTAAACTACTTCCTATATTTTTTTTACGTAACCGCATTTTTTTCAAATGCAGTTAGCATAAATGTTATGTATTAAATGTAAGAACAAATTACATTAGAACACAAATATATGGAAACAATATTCTTCGTTCATTTATCTATGTTTTAATATAATGCGAATTTTTCGGAGATTAAACTTATATTAGGTCGACACATTTGAAAGTTCTACGGATAGTTCATTAAATCAATTTCCTTACATAACCGTTTATAACTTTAATTGTTACTATCGTTTTTGGTAGAAAATCTACCATACTGAACTAATTAATAGTTTTTTTCAATTGAGTTGATAAAGATTTTATTTCCAAATTGACAGATCATTGGATAATGGCCAATCTCATATTTGTCCGGACCCTAGTGCCGATTAAATCCGTCCGACCAATTTGCTATGTGACCGTTAGTCTAAGTGACTCGACATTGCGTGCACCAAGTTTTGATATAAGATGGCCCTTATGGCCTAGTGGTAATGTCTTAGACTGTGAAACTACGCAACTCAATTTCGAATTCATCAGAGAACATCGTTTCCTTCAAGGTTGCATAAGCCCCTTGGTGATGAGTCCCAACGAGCAAGAAATCTTGTTTCAAGAACATGTGAAGGCATAGTTTCCTGCCAACTTCCTTCAACCGTATAACATCGAAACGCTGCACCGTGTCGAGTCACATAGACTAATGGTCACATCGCAACTTCGTCGAATAGGTCCAGTCGGTACTAAGGAATAGAAAACAATGACACTGGTCACTATTCAGTGGTCAATCAATCTAAATTTTAATTCTTATTGATAACCATAAGCTAGATGCATCTGAATACTAGTAAATGTTTTAAATGAAATCGGTCACTGATAGAAGTAGGATATCCTACAGCAGTTAAGATTTTTATCTACTGTCTTTTGAAAGTACAGAACATAAAGTGGAACACAGATAAATGAAAACATTCCACAACATGCGATAGTGATTTACTTGCCCTGTATAAATAATCAACTGTCATATATATATATATATATATATATATATATATATATATATATATGAAAAGTTGTAGCACATTTATTGGTGGGTATGAATTTTGCCCTTCTAGCTCTTCGTATGAGTGAATAGCACTATCGAGGTTATCCATCCAGATTCAACTAATTTAATCGGAATCAAAACTTTGATGCATAATTGTAACACTTTTAATTGTCATAAAAAATACAACTTCACAAGAAAATAAATCAATATAACACGACATAAGTTTGGAAAACTATAGGAAAATTGACGTCTGATGAGCAAAAATAGAAATCTAAGGTAGACATCTTAATATAAAAAACATTTTTATATCTGTTAATAATTACCTTTGGTTCACAATTATTCTACCATCTGATTATATTACAACTTATGAAATGAATCCAATTACGGCGCGGTAACTGTTTGAGTCTAATACTCCATCATATAAACTATTTTCATATTAGGAATAGAATTCTTAAACAAAAAATAGCCCTTTCATAAACAAGAACTGCAAGTATAGACATATATAAATATTACCTCTGGTTTATGAACAGCACTATTACCAGGTAGTGTGTTTAACCACTGTTTAACTTTACCAAAATTATTCAGTCCATCAATATTCTCAGCAGGCATCGATTGATTTTGTCGATTTCTCCGTGAAATACGTCTGTGATGAGATGGCAGAATATTTTTAGGGGAATAATTAGACATTCTCCTGTTTAAATGAGAGAAAGTGGTTTCTTCTCTAAGTGTATTCGATTCTTCGTGTTTAGCACTGTCAATTGCTTCCAAACCTGATATTTTTTAAGCACAAAATGGAGTTTCAGCTTATCAATAAACAATCTAAATACATAAATTTCATTCAAACAGCTTTAGTATCAAAGTGCTAATATGCTGTGGAAAAGAAATAAATTGAAAATTTCTTTGAAATAAACAAAATACACTGTACATTATTGAACCTTAAAACGCATTAATTTGCTTTGAACAAATTTCTATAAATGTTTCTTCGATCCAAATGTAGTGAAGGAATTTTTAACATTATAGCAAAATATTGAGAGTTTGGAGTAATTCAATTTCATATTTAACGTGTACAGGCAACAGGCACAAAGCTGTAGAATTTACCTTTCCGCTCCTCAAAAATATCGTGTTATTCGACTTAACAGTGTAAGTAGTCATAATTTAGAGAAAGAGCCTTCCAAATAGTTTTTCCATTTGCAACTCAAGCGTTAGGAACCTTAGTTAGTAGCTTAGGTAGATTAGATAGTCATATCAAGTCATTACAATGTGAATGAAGTCGACAGACTTTGATCATTAATAGATTAACTAAAATAGTGATGGTGGTGGGGTCGAGGATGCACACTACTGAGGGGTCCCATACTAGGACAAAATGGCCGTTCACTGCTTCCAGGTTCCCAGTGGTAGTCTGACTTAGATTGGTTCACAATTTCAATGAAACGCATTAGTCTTCACATTTTCATGCGGTAAAACAATACTAATTAATGCATTAGTCTTGGGCTTTATAAGATCAGCATGAGTTTGAAGGATATGACTTTTGGCATTAAAAACACACTAAGCAATATTAATGGTGGTGGGTGTTGTAAATTAATCCTAAAACACGTTGAACAGTCGACGCGAATATATATATATATATATATATATATATATATATATATATATATATAACTTGATTGGTTATTACCTATAACAGTGTTGTCATTGTTGATACAAAGTTATTTTTCGTGTGTAGGGAAATTCTAATAGCTCATTTATTTATGAAGTATTGTGGTGTGGTCTACTTATATACATATAAGTAGTATATGGTGTGGGTCAGACATAGAATGTATTTTGGCAGAAGACCGATGCGGAAAGAATTGAAATGAAACGCAAACGTCTGGAAAATGCATGAGCAATGGAATAAGAGAAGAAACAGTGAAGATTGAAACAATTGATTGTTAATTTGCAAATTGACTGTTCATTGTTTGGTAATCAGAATTTACTGAGATAGTCTGTAATCTTTGCTTTAATACATTCGATTGTCCCCAGTCGTGTTTTGTTCACTACAGTATATGTTAAAGATAATCTGATGGAACAATACAAGCCTTGAATATAAACTGATATGCTTTTGTGAAAACAACTCCTCTGAAGACACTAAACGTTGAAACGGTCATTCCCTATTTTTAAAAGTGTTATGACTTAGTCTACAATAATGTTGAAAGTAGAACAATAAAACAGTCAACTGATATAACCATTTTCAAAAACTTTGCGTGAAAACCGCCTTCGATTGCTGACATTTAGTTCAATGACGTTTTAAAATCTATCTAGTCAAATTAGTAAATTTATGGATATAAATGAATTCTTTCCATCCTAACTTTGGTGATATTCAGGACTGAAATAATCAACCCATAGTTTAATGGCTAATCTGACTCGGTAATCTAAAGCATAAAGTTTAAAGAGGTGGGTAAGTTTTTTGAATCCCAATAGGAACATTAACATGATAGCTCAAACTATACTAAAGCACTAATTTAGGTTGAGAATATGAAAAATTTTGATACCCCCTCAGTAGATAGATAGTGGTGTACTCACTTCAGGACCCATAGTTTTTGAGCTCAACAACGTTTGAAGTATGGCCACTCACTATTGAAACGTTTCAATCTCGTAGAAAATACCTGTTCAATACTCTCTAATTGTCAAAACTTACTATCTAATGTCATATTTTCAGAAAACGTATTCAATGAACACCTTTAAAAACACAAGTAGCATATATTATTGAATATAGAATAAACAAACAGAATTTATTTGGCAGAAAACCAATGGAAATCAGTTTTTTATTAAGCTTTTTTTTGTACCAACAATTCATTACTAAATCTATGTGTAATAAATAAAGATTTGTAAGGAAAAAGTCCAATGAATTACCTGAATTTGTTTTACAGGCTTCGGCTAGTTTTTTAGAGTGTATTACAGCTTTAACATCCAAATGAACTTTTGAATCAGGCTGACGACGACCAGTCCTTTTAGGTGGATTGTAACATCGTAGACTGATAAGTTTAGACGGGACACTTGATTTCATTGTTCTTGGAGAAAATAGTTTGGGACTGGTAAACTTATCCCGGTAGATATCTAAAACGTCATTGCTCAATGATTGCCTTCGATGAGAAGTCTGTAAATGTATTTTTATTTATTGTAAAGAAGATTAACAATTTCAAACCAATTATCTCTGTAATAAATTAAATTTTTATATAAATAACAATTATCATTACTAATCAAAATTTAAAATGTCTATGTACGTTTCCTACTTCTAATATCAACTGGATCTTAATTAAATGTGTAACAACTCAACGCTACCAATATCATATATTTACTTGCCATTTGATATAGCTTTAAATCATTGATTGTGGTAAATTCATTCTTTATCCTCCTCCAAAAACCCTGAAATAGTGATCAAAAGATTTTCAGAAACTTTCCAGGAAAAGTCTTTTAGAGATAAACGCCATGGTTGGCTTCACAGAAAAATCGAAGACTCAGGCTTAATTTTACACTTCATATACAATATATGTTTAGTCGAGGATAATGGGGATAACTATGGTGAGACATCACTACGTTTTAACAAAGATTATCTTTCAAAATATGGAATTTGGGAATACTCTTATGACCAATAACTTAAACAATGCATAGTTTAAGGAAGCCTTCATCAATTTTCGGCATGCAGAAATCAGAAGATAACGTCCGAACAAAACACGAAGTTCACAAGAGAAATGTATTTAGAACAAATCGATTATACAGAAACTCAATAAGATTTGTAACACATAAACTTAAATCAACAATATATATATAATGAGAATATCTTGGTAATATTAGCTCTAGTTTAAGTACTAATAGTAATGCGATAAAGTTTGCTTTCTCCTTGTGGTTGCAGTTTCTATCCTGTTTCTCAATGTTCCAACTGATAGTTCTGATTTAAGATATCCTGATAAGCTCAAAAGCAGTCAGACAGCATAAAACGTACAGGAATTATAATATAGTTTCGCCTTCTTACTGAACTATTCAAACAAAATTTTATTATTGTTATTCTACTGATCCTGAAATACCATACATGATAGTCTCTTGTAGTAAATGTTTAAAAAGAATAGCGCTTGCACCAATTGATAATTTCTTCACACATGATTCTTTGTCTCCTCCAAATTTCAAATAAATACGTCTGATTGGGCTTACTGGATTCTCTTCGACTTTGATACTGGCTAACACGTGACTACTAGAGCACGAATTGAAAGGTTCTGGGAATTAATTATTAGCGTCCTGAATTCGTTTACTTCTGATTTATCACAAAATGATTTACAAACTGTAACCCTTTGTGTTAACACTCAGTAAGATTATTTGTATTCTCGAGACTGTGTACTGTGTATAGTAAATCTTGACTACCAATGTCGTATCCCTAGTGCATTTCAATCTTGTTGATTGGACAGTGACCGTCACAAAATATCACATAAGTTCCACTATGTCTATCAAAAGCATATTTTTACTACCGTAGGAATTTGAACATGTCTGTTGAAACATAAATGTCACAAAAGCATTTACCTCAAGGATAAGTATCTTTGCGCAATTAAATACAAAACAAAAGGCAAAAAAGATCTCTAAAAATTAAGTATATCAGTTTGTGACCTATAGTGAATAATTACCGAGTATCTTGTATTTATACATTAATTGATTTGTGAGTAAATTTGTGTAAGAAGTCGAGAGAGCGCACTATAAACATAAATAAGTATAACCTGTACAGAATAAATGAACTGAGATCAAAGGTTTAGGGACCTATACATTTTTGTTATGAAGTACCAAAGGCATAAGACAAACAAAAGTGTTCGTCTTAGCATTCAGAATAAAATTTATACTAACTTTAGTGCTAAGGCAATCTACATCCAATTTTCGCAAGATTATAGGCTCTCCATCTGAACAATTACATTTTTCGCATGTACTTTTATTGCCGACAACTTCTGAATGATGCTCACCTAATCCAAGTGGTTCCATAAGTTCATCGCAATTACCCAGCACAACTCTGACAATCTCATCAACTTCAGGATTATCTGAAAACGTGTTTATCTAAACATATGTGACAAAACTAAAAAGATTTTACAGCAATCGAATTACAGCGACTATTTGTTTCTGGTCTGGTTGAAAGTGGTCTTTTATCAGCTGCTTTGGATGACTTTCGATAACCCTTGGCTGAGACGTGAAAAGTAAAGTGAACTCACTGGTTGGATTGTGTGAGAGTGAGTAAGGTGCCGTATTGTCGACGTATGCTTTAGAAAGCTGTACTATATGCAGAAATTTACCTTTTACGGACTGAATATTCCTGTAATGGGCATTCAAATGCTGTTTAATTAGGATTTTTGAAGACACTTTACATTTTGGTGGAAAAATACCTATGAATTTGAAAGCTGGTAATTCACATAAATTCACAGACCATCATGATAGGCTTTCACATTGGCGTTATTACGAAAACTAATTTCGGGACTTGACATAAAGGATTTATATGAAGCGCAGAAACAGTATCTTTCACAATATCCACAGACGCCGAACTTGATCAACTTAAACACGTTTATAATGATACTTTCAAAATAGACAAAACAGCTTTACGGCCCGTATTATTGGTGTGAAATACAAGTCTGCTCATTATTGATGCTGTATTTTAACGTGGACCTCGCGTATTTTGTTCGTGAAATTGTTATATATTTCTATTTATTTACGAAATACGTCTGAAGTGGATTTTCTTGGGCAAATCAAATAGGTCTCTAAATGGTGCCCTGTCAGAATATTCAATCGCTAATGAACTACTTACTGATGCTTCTGAAATTGTATGGATAATCTCAAGCATGTTCGAGCTGTTCATCCCAGTAATAGGCTATATATGCATAACCATTACATTCTGCTCAATTTTGTGATAAGAAAGCTCTGAAGCTCGATATGAAGTTTTATGGACTTAGTGTTTGAAAAAATATATTCTGAGATTGAGAAAATCGTACAAACTTTCAGTTAGAACATTCTGTGATAGTCAACAAATCCTTACTGAAAAAAGGTCATTGAAGAGAGGACTATTCATTGATATACCCAAACAGCGGTCAGCACTGAGGACTCTTAAGCAAAATTATAACAACTAACTGCCGTAATATTTTTGCACTCTGTTTAAGTTGTATTTATATAATCTTATCTCTAGTTAACCATGACTATACACACTAACCCCTTGATGACTAAATCTAAAGTGGCGATAAATTGTTAATCTGTATGATTCCTATGTAAGTATATTCACGTTAAATGATAGCACGATTTCGCCCAATTTCATTGTTTTTTTAGATTGATGTGATTTTAGCCCCAACCATTATAGCACTCTCCTAGGACTTCCTTCAAATCTACTGTGAATTGTCACGATATGCATCGCTGTCAAAAAGTTGTGGCATATCAACATATTAATCCCAAAAAGCGAACTTATACTTGAAAAAGAAACTCACTTGGGTTTCTGGAACCATACAGACGCTGTATATTATTAAATTCACCGTGGTACGAATCTTACACTCATAATGTTCCATGAGTTCCGGTAGTTCAGTACAGCGAGATTAATTTAATCGGAATTAAACATATCAGTATTGCTGGTTGATATGACTTCATATCATACATATTTTTTGTTTCCATGAGAAGATAGAGTGCATCCATTTCATTATTGGTTTAAAAATATTTCTTTTGATTGCAGATAGTATATTCACTAATTTTGTGCATATATGTATGCAGTTATTGATTGGTTTTGTGTTTGCAAGAAAAGATTGTTAAAATATTGTGTGCCGGGAATTCTATACCTTTCTAAACATATGGTAATGGATGACGTGTCTGATAACAGTAATAAGAACAATAACGAGGTATTTCGATTTAAAATGTTAAATATTCTTAAACTTCATGACTGAATGTGGGTAATATCTGTTTCCCATTTTACATGCAGGACTGCTCTACATAGGATATACGAAGGTAAATTTTAGGCTGTGAAAGATGTAGAAGGAATTGCAAACATGGTTTTTGTATTATAGATGCAGTGTAAGACGTTCCCGAAGAAAATTTATAAACTATACGCCTTACGTAACATTATATGGAGAGAAATAAGCTATAAAGTCCATGATAATCTATTTTATATGGATTGGATTACGTATATATTTGCATGTTAACTCACATATATTATGCACTTGTCTGAAAATTAGTTCCAAGGTTTACATAAGGTTTCTAGAAATCGAAGATTATGATTGAATAAAAAACGAGTTTTATAATATATAATATATACATTATATAGTGCATATATTATTTATATTATGTATACGTGATAGTCATTGGAAATCTACTGACATTAGATAGTTAAGTGTGCCGACGTCCTGTCTCAATTTTCTCGGTATTAGTAGAAACCTCGTGTTAGCAATGACCACAGAGAATTTCAAGTTTGGTTAAGGGAGTATTATGTAATTTAGTTTACCAATGTAATTGCACTATAATAAAATGCTGAAGGGATGATATTTTTAAAGAATGTGACAGAAATGTCATATTTAGCATTATGATAAATTCTGATGTGATTGATTCCACATAAAAATACATTGGTGAAATTTGTTTGTTAATAAAGAAAATTGTCATTAATTCCGTATCTTACACGTAGCTGGGTAGGAGACATCTTACGGGAAGTCATATGTGCGAGGACTATTTGAAAGGAATGACTCCAATGTTAAGTCAAGCGGTTGATATTTAAATGCACTAGGGACTTTGACACGACCAATAAAAAATTGAATAGGCGTCACATAACTTTTCCAATCTTCCGACGCTTTGTACAATAAGACCTGGATCAAGTTCAAATGGTTTGATACGGAACAGCAAGAGCTTTCGCTTAACGGGCTTCCATATCAAATAAAAGTAGATTACGGATACCTCCAGGCAGGAACCTAGATATATTAACGATAATAGAGGAAAAATTTGATAAATCATGGTAAGATACTATCCTTAGTCCTTAAGAATATCCCAAGTTTTCTCTTAAGAACTCCTGAGAAGTCGCTCAGACTAGCTCAGCCGGCAGCGAATTCCGGCATTTGACTACTCTTAAAGAATATAAGGTGTGTCTAATGTCCGTTCTGTCATGTTGTGTCTCCAGTTTCTGGGTGTTACCCGGAAGGTTTTTGTTGGAACTATGTTTGAGTAAGTGTTTAAGGGGATGTCTAGGAGTAGTTAGAATGCTGTAAGCCATTAGGTCACCTCTAAGACGCCTATACCCTAACGGGTAAAGATTTGGTGATTGAAGGCGCTCTTCACAACGCTTGAAGTTGAGTCCCCTAACTGATCTTGTGGCTCGCCGTTGGATACACTCCATAGTCTCCCTATGTTTTCGGATAGAAGAAGGAAATACTATGTTTTTGTACTTTAAATGGGGACGAATGAAACTGTCTAAGAATTTGTGGAAAGTACTTCCGTCAAACTAGCCAAAAATGCGCTTCAATGTGGTTAGTGTAAGGTCAGCTCGAAAAGCATTCTGTCACAGTTAGTGTGAGACTTAAATCGTAGGGTACCAACAATCCTAGATCGTTTTCCACTTGAGATACCTCTGAAGGGACGTTTCCTAAGTTGTAACTGTAGTCTGAAACATGTCTCAGATCGACTACTTTACACTTTGAAGTGTTAAAGGTAAATCCATTTTCATCTTCCCAACTTTTAATTTGAGTTAGATCCTCCTGAACTGCCAGTTTATCGTTGGTTTGCGTACCTCCCTACGAAGTTTCATATCATCAGCAAAAGGTGATGAATCTGACAGTGTCTGTTGTGGAAGATCGTTTATATCAAGAGAGGAAGAGGTCTTAGTACTCAACCCTTGGGGACATTTGGACATTCCATAGCCAGAGAGAAAGTGAAGCTAAGCCTGACCTCCAGATGTCGGTTTTGTAGATATGAAGTGAAATGCGTTCCACTATCAACTACATTGTATTGACTGAACTTGTTTATTTGATGATGGCTAGCCAGGTATTGATTGTTGACATGAAACTCTATGGTAAGTAACCTGCACTTCCCATCAAGCCTGTCGTGCATTTTTTGACGTTCAGAGTGAAGATGCAAATCAGTGTATGGTACGTAAAATGAGATCAAGTTTAAACAACAAATAAAATTTCTAGCGAAATATTTCTTGATCTCTGTAATATGACTTTGGGTCTAGAAGCCCGATAAGGTGAACAGAATATGACGATTTGTTAACAAAATTCCAATACGGTAGTATGCAACCGAGAAATTAGTGTATGGCACACAGTTCCTAATTGACTTGTGTCGCTTAATGTTCTGATAATCTGACTGCCTTGAGACCAGATTCATAAGAAAAGCTGATTGCTGTGTCGATAATTAAGAACAAAGTCCATAACATAGCAATTTACATTTCTGACATGTCGGGTGCACATCATTTTTACAGGCATGGTCAACAATTCGCAACATGGAATTGCGGATAAGATACCAAACACTTAATATCAACTAACTCTAGTTGTTTAAATTCCCAAGTGACTCTATCACCGTAGCCTTTATTTATTGTTGCTTTCGCTGTTATTGTTGAATGCCAACGGCTGCATCCTTGCTCAAGAGTCCAGAAATACAGGATATAGGACAATTTAGTGACCGTCATAAAATGGATAACATGAGTCTAAGAAGCAACAAAAATGGAATAACCTTATAATCATTGAGTAGTTGTCTTCTTGTCGGTTATAAAGAGATAGAGACAACTGAAATGTTCCTCTTCACAAGCCTGAATGAATTGAAATAATCGTTTACACCATCAATGTTCCCTGGTCAGTAACTCTACTCAGCCTTATATTTTGATGACAGGTTTTTTTGAAGTTGCACTTGGAATGCAGCTATCTCTTTCACGCCCAAGCTCTATGTTTTACACCCTGTTAAAAAACGCTAACTTTACGAATGCCATATACAGACATATCAGACAGTCTAGCTGGTAGATGGATGATAGAAAATCGAAAGAGTATCATAAAAGACCAGAAAATATAGGTTCTTGAATGCTCTGAAAGAAGCTATTGATGTATTTTTCTGATGTGATAGCACTGTTTAAGGTGCGAACAGGTTTTTATGCCACTCCATTGAAATGAAGATGTTGTGGAGTCGTAAATGGACAACAGTATCCATTTGCAGTGAGCCAGATGCTAAACTCTTTTTGCAAAATGCGTTCCATCATCAGCTACATTGTATTATACATTGTATTCCCTCCATTGCTTGCCAATCAGTTCCTGATAGGATTGTTCATCAGCATCACTTCTGCAAATTTTGAATATGAGTCAACAATAACTAAGGAGAAATACGAGTTTGAATATTAGCCTTAGTAATCGGCATGAATACGTAGTCACGAATCATGGGATCCAGGCACTGTGATCTTTAATTATTGAGTTAGTATGAAAATTACGACAAAACTGAGATATCCACAAACTGCGTGAGAGTTACAATATTCATGAGTGACACTGTAATGAAATAACCTCATTATTAACCAGGCTATCAAAATAATGGAAGATGATTAGCTGACAGGCAGATAGATAGACAATGGTTGGTTAGAACCAGTCATACTTGTTAACCAAGAGGATTGAGCAAATGCGTCCAGTTGTCACATAAATAGTCTGAGTGTTATTTTGTGAGAATTTTTAATTCATATGTTAAACACCACAGATAACTCAAGTCTGACTGTTCTTTTACGACATACCTGACACACTAAACTCCCGAGATTTACGATAAAAAGATAATCTTTAAATCTGGACAAATATATAAAGTATCCAGTGTGTGTACAGCTTTGATGAGACTTGGGCA